GTGATTTTTTTACTATATCGGTACTCAATTAAAATCAATTCCTTTACCAGCTTTTAATAGAACTTAAAAAGGTAATAAAGAAATTTATAACACTAGTGTATGTAATATGTTTCAATGCAAAACAAAGATACTGAGGAGAGGATAAATAATTTCAAAGACAACACGTTATTCCGCTACATAATAAACAACCAACTAAAGTATTTTCGTTTGGAATATTCACAAATATGTCTACAGAAATATAGCTATAGGCTGATATATTTGAAATGTTTAGGAGCGTGTGATGTTGCGAGGATAAAGGAATGAGCGAAGGTAATGTAGGAAGTGTGTGGAAGTGGGTAAGGTGAGGAAAGATTGTGCGTTTCGTCTCAGAGCCGGTGCCTACTACTGATAAAGTGGAACTGATGGCAGCGACCCCTTACCCCAGACGCTTGTTGTTATAACTACTCGCTAGACTGGACGGTCACCCATCCTAGCGGTGACCCATTCCGCACTCTGCTTAACATCGAAGATCGCTAGACTTCGACACTAGGCACATAGTTACTTGTAACTTGTATAAGTCGATGTTCAAAACTCGTACTCGAGGAACTATTGGACATCAGAATCACTAATACAAATCTCGATATCAAGACGAATGAATTACTTAAACTATTCTCAGGTCACAAATCTATAATTTTTCAACTCAAAAATATCGCAAAAATATTACAAAAATATTACAAAGAGTATTACAGATTAGACAAGTTGCAAAGTATGTCTAAACGATGTACACGACATAAGAATATCAGCAAATTTAATTTCTATGATACAAACAATGGCATATATTTCAATAAAATAGAAAGAAAAACAAAACTATAATAACAAAATACCCAACTTATATTTTAGATCTAATTTAAAAGAGAGAAAAGAAATAAGAAGATAATGACAGATCAAGAGATAATGACCGCAATACAAAACTCAACTGAATTTATTCACTAATAAAATCAAAAACAAAATTCGTAAAATTCACTAATTTCAGAAAGAATATAGAAGAAGAATAAGTTTTTCGCCCTAGAAGTGTACAAAAAAACTCAAAGAACTATTTCTATATCTACAATTTAAAAACAGCTAGACAAAATCCTCAGAGGCAAGTAAAAACTATAGCCGATTTCTTGCAAAAAATTTTCTATTACTACTTCATAAAATCACAAAGCAATAACATAGTCCCAGCAGAAAGTTTAATTCCAGATTACGGATTTAAGGAAAACCACAACACAATAGAATAAATATACTGCATGATCAATAAAATAATCCATAGCAAATACTGCACAACAGTCTTTTTAGATATATATAGTAAAAAAGTATATATATATAGTAGATTTTAGATATAATAGATTTTGGATGTATATAGTAGAAAAGATATTTGATAAAATTTAGCATAAAAGACTATTAAAAAAATTGTAACTGAATCTTACTTGCACAGTTACTAATTTGCACAATTATTTCTTGTTATCTTTCAAATAGATACTTTTACGTCAAAATTAACAACATAATCTCATCGTTTAACCTGAGATTACCCATGTGAGGGTCTAGTGTCAATCGGCCATTTATCTGTTATTAATAGATGCAATGCTTGTCTTTAAGCTGATGGTAATCATTTTGAGCAACATATTAATTACAATAATTGCAAACATAAAAATTACAATTATTTTTAGTAATAAATACAACAATTTTCTTTAATAATATACGTAATAAATCTGAATTATTCCGATGGCATACATTACTAAGTCCTATAACTTTAGTAGTAAATATCTCTTGAAGAAAGCATTTGCGAGCATACTTCCAAAGGAAAAAAATTATTTGTTTTAGGATCTTAAATTCATATCTAAAGTTTGGCGATTTAATTCGGGAACACCCTGTATATAGACACACATACATATATATATATATATATATATATATATATATATATATATATATATATGTAGATACATATATACATATAAAATTAAGCAAATAAAAATGACTACGAAAAATATGTACCGACTTCCAATGAAAAGATACAAAAAACAAGCTTACAATCTATAAAATTATAATAAAACCAATATGAACGCATGGAAGTCGAACATTACAAAAATAGAAAATCTTCAATCCATCATATTAAAAACTATTCCAAACGTGTCGTTGTAAAAAACGATGACATCAAGAAAACTATAGGAATCGTTACAGTAGCAAAAGAAATAATACCATTTACAAAGAATAGAGAAATATAAATCTGCTTGCGGCAAAGATCTGCTTTTCAGGTCTTTCTAGAAAGCTTAAAAGAAAATCTAGTAATTATAAATCTGATCTACTAAACGAAACAAACTTGGAAATTGACACAGAAAAATTATCATTAATTATTATAGATCTATTAATCAACAAGTTCAGAATTGTTGGTAAATGTATCGAAATTCTTAAAATTATTGTTTCTTTTTCCTTTATTTTTAATCTATGTTTTATTGTATATTTGCTACAAGAAATGTAATGATTTCATAAAATAAGAATATTTTATAAAAAAAATAAAAAACCATAAAATTTTATAAAAGAAATAGAAATAAAAGAAAGAAATAATAGTAGAAATTTTTATTAAAGAAATAAAAGAGGAAACAAAAGAGGAGAGAAAGAAAGAAAAGAGAAAATTTATTATTTTAAAATGTTGCAGATAACAAATAAAGACACCGTATTCTGGAATTATATCAAAAGATTCTTATTTGTTCGGCCGGCAGAAATTTGGGTAGAAAGCCAAAAATTGAAAAAACTAGGAAAAAAAATTATTAAAAGAACAACACCAAGATAAAAAAATAAGAAAGGAATCAAGAGAAAAGTAAAAAAAGAAAGAGTTAAAAGATGAATTGTAACTGGTACAAAAAAACAATAAACAATAGAAAATAAAAGTAAATCAGAATTACACGATTTGGCACAAATTAAAAAAAAAATTTTTTTTAATTTGAAACGTATATATAATATATAATAATATAAAATACGTATATATAATATATAATAAAAAAAGATGAGGATGCTACTGCAAAGAATAGAAGATATAAGATATGAGGGAGAATATGAATGCGAGAATATAAGAAGAGCAAAAGTTGATATAAGAATGAAGAATAGAAAAAAATCAGCAGAAAAAGATTAAAAGCAAAAGAAAAATTATTACATTTGATTAAGAGTTTAGAATATCTTAAACTAGAAAATATAAATGGAAACCAATAATTCATCTTTGTAGAAAATAGAAGAGAAACGGTGATTAACTATGTTCTAATTTAATAATGCACAACATAAAGAGCCATATTGCAATATCATATATTAATCAGGCTCTGTGAACTTGTGCAACAAAGAATCTCTTTTCCTCTTTCCTCCCTTCAATGTACAAACAACTGTTAAACAGAATGGTTTCTATGCTGTTTTTATATATGTCTAATTGAATACATGTATTTTAAATTTATTATACAAATAATATAATTGAAATATAATTTTAAAAAATTTTGTAAATAAAAAAGAATTCAAAAGATTCATGGACCGTAAAAATTTTCAAAATAGATTGGGCATCATTATTTTAATATGAAATCATTACCACCATTATCAAATCATTAATTAAGAAATGAATACTTGAATTATTAATTTCTCACCAAAATTTTTAAATAGAAAACGAAGAAGTCGAAAAGGAAGAGGCAACGATTGAGGTGATATTTAGGAATAAAAATAATGTAGAGCAATATGAAAATAGAACATCAAAACTTAATTATGGAAGATGTTAACAAGTTATGAGAAAAGTTTAAGATAAGTGTTAGAAATGTTCTAATTATGAAGAAAATTAAAATAATAGAGTTGGAAAGGCCAACTGATGAGACAGACAATGTATTTACTAAAATAGCACGCATAGATAAAATGAAACAATAATAAAATAGAAAAGAAAAAGCTACAAAATATAATATATAGAAAAAATGTATTAGAAGAGAATAACTAAATGCAGAGGAAAAATGCAGCAAGTAAATACAATTGTAATTTAAAACTATTCGATAAATACACAACGTATGATAGTCAAACTAATGGAGAAATTATATTTGCACATCAATTAATTATTTAGAAATAATTATTATTATAATTATTAAGAAATTATATTTATATACAATTATATTTAAGAAGTTACTTTTGTTGCAGATTCAGTAATTTATTTAAAATGTGCACAGCTTTTAAAGAAACAGTTTACATTACACAATTTACTCTACTTCTTATATTACCTGAATTTCCTTAGTAAAAAATATTAAGACATCTTACATCTACTGCTTCTAGATTGAATAAAGATGCTATCTCTTCAATTACAGTTTTCAAAAAAGGTATTAAATCTGTCTTTTACATATTGGACCTGCTTCTGCCATTGAATTAGGATAACCTTCTTTTCGAAGTTCAATACCTTTCAGTGGTGTTAAACCTACGAATCAAGAATTCTTTAAACATTTTAAACACTCTTCTGTAAGATATCCAATTTAAAATTCATGTCTCAGAGAATAAAAAATTATAACTAGGAGTAAAACTGAGTACAATTATTCTTCCAATATAAAAGCTAAGATATACATTCAACTCATAATAGATTCAGTTCCTCAGAAATAAAACCATAAACCTTTTTATAATGAAAGATCACATTTGTCTTCGAAAATAAACAAAAGGCCACACTTCCATCTTATTCTTGCCACCGATGAAGTATATAAATAGACCTTGCATCTTTCGGGGTTTCATGGCCCGTGACCTGAAATGTATAATACCGATATAGTAAAAAAATCACT